CGAACCCGCAGGCTCAGGCAATCCACTCACCTCAGCCTCCCAAAGGCGCGGGATTACAGGCTGAACCGCCAAGCCCGCTTTATGTTTGCTTTTAAAAAAAAAAGCTAATTGAGATATAATTCACATACACATAAAACCCATCTTTTAGAATATCAACATAATTGTGCAACAATTACCACTATTTAAACCCATAACATCATCACCACCCCAAAAAGAAACACGACATTCATTTACAATCACTCCCTATTTTCTCCACCACCTACGTCCTAGCACTCACTGGTGTACTTTCTGTCTTTATAGATTTACCTATTCTGGATATTTCATATAAATGGAATCATACAATATGTGATTTTTTTCGTGACTGGCTTCTTTCACTTGTTTTCAAGGCTCAGCCATGCTATAGCAAGTATAAATACTTCATTCCTTTTTATGGCCATTTCATTAAATGGATATGTCACACTTTGTTTAACTATTCATCAGGTGATAAACATTTGGGTGGCTTTATTGTGGATAGCGCTGTGATGAACATTCCAGAGGTTTTTATTTGAACATCTCTCTTTAATTTTTTTTAGTGTATTCATTCTTAGGAATGGAATTGCTTGGTCATAAGGTAATTTTTCTAGTGTTTTCACCTAAAACTTGTATAGTTTTACATTTAAATCTGTGATCCATTTGAATTAAATTTTTTAACAAGGTGTGAGATTGAAGCTCTCTTATTTTTTGGTCTATTGATAGCCAATTGTTCCAGCACTATTTGCTGAAAAGACTATCCTTCCTCTGTTGAATTTCCTTGACAGCTTTGTCAAAAAACAGTTGGCAGGCATGGTGTCTCATGCCTATAATCCCAACACTTTGGGAGACTGAGTAAGCAGATTTCTTGAGCCCAAGAGTTCGAGACAGCCTGAGCAACATAGCAAGACCTCATTTCTACAAAAAAAATAGAAAACTTAGCCGGGTGTGGTGGCTCACACCTGTAGTCCCAGCTACGCAGGATCCTGAAGTGGAAGGATCACCTGAGTTCAGGAGGTCAAGACTGCCATGAGTCGTGATTGTCATGATCATGCTACTACACTCCAGAATGGGCAAGGGAGTAAGATCCCAACTCAAAAAAAGAAACATAGTTGGCTGTACTTTCGTGCATCATCTGTTTCTGGGTTCCCTATGTTGTTCCAGTGATCTTCGTGTTTATCCCTCCACCAATACCAGTCTTGATTACTGTAGCTATAAAATAAGCCTTAAAATGGGTAGAGTGGTTCCTCTTTTATTCCTTTTATTCAAAATTGTTTTAGTTCTTCTAGTTTGTCTCTCCACATACATTTAAAAATAATCTTAGTCCAGGCAACATAGCAAGACCTTGCCTCTAAAAAAAATTAAAAATTAGCCAGGCATGGTGGCATGTACCTGCAGTCCCAGCTTTTCAGGAGACTGAGGTGGAAGGATCACCTGAGCCCAGGAGGGCAAGGCTTTGGTGACCCATGAGCATGCCACTGTACTACAGCCTGGGCAACAGAGGGAGACTCCAACTAAAATAATAATAATAATGAAAATAAAATAATCTTATTTCTCTCTACAAAAATCTTGCAAGAATTTGTTAAGAACTGTGTTTAACCTAGATATAAAATTTGGGAAGAACTAGTATCTTTACTATGTTGAGTCTTCCAATCCATGAACATGGTATAGTTCTCCCTTTATTTAGATCCCTGATTTCTTTCATCAGCATTGTATAGTTTTCATCACATAAGGCTATATAAGTTTTTGCTAAATTTACACCTAATATTTCACTTTTTTTTTTTTTAGCAACTGACTTTTCAATTTTGGTTTCCATATGTTCATTGCTAGTACATTGATTTTTGTTTTTTTATTTTTTTTTTCTTATTTTTTTGAGTTGGAGTCTCACTCTGTCACCCAGGCTAGAGTGCAGTGGCACACTCAAGGCCACCACAGCCTCAATCTGCTGAGCTCAGGTGATCCTTCTGCCTCAGACTTCGAAGTAGCTGGAACTATAGGCACGCGGCCACCATACTCAGTTATTGTTTTGCCAAGGTGCCCAGGCTGGTCTCAAACCCCTGGGCTCAGGTAATCCTCTCACCTCGGTCTCCCAAAATGCTGGGATTATAAGCTTGAACCACCACACCCGACCATAATTTCTTTTTATTTTTTTGAGTTGGAGTCTCACTCTGTTGCCAAGGTTGGAGTGCAGTGGCACGCTCACGGCCACGCCAGCCTCAACCTGCTAGACTCCAGTGATCTTTCCACCTCAGTCTTACAAGGAGCCAAAACTACAGGCATGTGCTACCATGCCCAGTTAATTTTTTTTTAAATTTATTGTAGAGACAAGGCTTGCCATGTTGCCCAGGCTGGTCTCGAACCCCTAGGCTTAGGCAATTCTCTCATCTCAGCCTCCCAAAGTGCTGGGATTACAGGCTGAGCCATCGAGTCCGGCTCACAATGATTTTTGTATGTTGATCTTTTATCCAGCTAACTTTACTGAAATCGCTTATTAGTGCTAGAATCTTTTTTTGTAGATTCCTTAGGATTTTCTATGCAAACTATCATGTCATCGGCAAATGAGGATATATTTATTTCTTTCTTTCCATAACTTCTAACATTTTTTCTGCAGCACTTTCTCCTCTCCTTTTAGGATTTCAATAATATGAAAGATAATCTTTTATTTCCTCATGGGTCCCTGAAGCTCTATTTATTTTCCTTCCGTTTATTTTAATCTCTGTTGGTCAGAATGGATAACTTGTATTCTACCTTCAGGTTCACTGGTTCTTTTTTTTCCCCATTGTTATGAAGACTACCCAATTAAGCCTTAAGTCTTTTTTTTTTTAATTTTTAAGATGTGGGATATGACAATTCAGGGTTAGGTATTGATCATGCAGGTACTCCTGTTAATGAGGTATGCCCCTCCTTTCCCTAGCAGTTTCCCTCAACTGCCAAACCCACCCCTCCCCAACAGTTTCCCATTACTGCCAATCGCTTTCTTATAGCATTATAATTGTTCAAGGTCCTCTTGTGAGTGAGAACATAAGGAATTCTGTTCTTTGTTTCTGTGATAAATCACTGACTATGATCGACTCCAAATCCATCCAAGTTGCTGCAAAGTCCATACGTTTGTCCTTCTTTATGGCTGCATAATATTCCATTGTGTATATATACCACATCTTCTTTATCCAGTCCAGCTTCAATGGGCAACGTGGTTGGTTCCATGCTTTTGCTATTGTGAATAGAGCTGCAACAAACATACGTTTGCAGCCAACAGACACATGAAAAAGTGCTCAGCTCCACTCATCATCAGAGAAAAGCAAATCAAAACCACATTGAGATACCATCTAACCCCAGTAAGAATGGCCATCATTAATAAAACAAACAACAAGCCAGGCTCGGAGGCTCAGCCTGTAATCCCGCGCTTTGGGATGCTGAGGTGAGTGGACTGCCTGAGCCCGTGGGTTCGAGACTGCATGGGCAACTTGGTGAGACCTCATCTCTACAATAAATCAAAAATTAGCCAGGTGTGGTAGCGTGTGCCTGTAGTTCCAGCTACTTGGACGGCTGAGGTGGAAGGATCACCGGAGCCCAGCAGGTCGAGGCTGCGGTGGCCAGGAGCGGCCACTGCACTCCAGTCTGGGCGACAGAGTGAGACTCCAACTCAAAAAAAAAATATAATAAAATAAATAAATAAATAAAAATAAAATAAAACTAACAACAACACATGCTGGCGAGGATGCAGAGAAAAAGGAACGCTTCTGCACTGCTGGTGGGAATGCAAACTTGTACGTCTCTGGAAAACAGTCTGGAGATTTCTGAAAGAACTAGAAATTGACCTTCCATATGACCCTGCAATTCCCCTACTGGGAATCTACCTGAAGGAACTCAAATTATTCTACAAAGAAGATACCAGCACACGTATGTTTACAGCAGCTCTATTCACAATAGCAAAAACACGGAACCAACCATGTTGCCCATCAAAGCTGGACCCAGTTAATTTTTCATTTAGGGCCAGGCACTGTGGCTCAGCCTGTAATCTCAGCACGTTGGGAGGCCAAAGCAAGAGGATTGCCTGAGCCCAGGGGTTCAAGACCAGCCTGGGCAACTTGGCAAGACCTTGTCTCTATAATAAATCACACAAAAAAACTGGCCAGACGTAGCGGCATGCATCTGTAGTTCCAGCTACTTGGAAGGCTGAGGCAGAAGGATCACCTAAGACCAGCAGGTCGAGGCTGCAGTGGCCGTGAGCGTGGCACTGCACTCCAGCCTGAGTGACAAGAGTGAGACTCCAACTCAAAAAAAAAAAAATTTCATTTAGTTTGTCATATTTTTCAGTTAAAAAATTTCTAATTTTCTGTTCATTTCAAGAATGTTCTCAGGTGGGATTGGCAGTAGTGGGAAACCGCCAGGGGAGGGGGGCACACCTCATCAACAAGGATACCTGTATAATGAATATTTGCATACCTAACCCTAAATTTTACCCCACATATTTAAAATAAAATAAAATAAAAACAATGTCCTCCCTTACTTGTTAGAACAAGGTTCTAATTAATATTTTAATTATACTTTTAGTTTTAATTTTTTCATAATTTCAACATCTGTGTCATATCATGGTTGCTATCTGCTGACTGTATTTCCCATTATGATTTTCCTGATTCTTCGTAAGTGGAATAATACTGGATATTATACTATGTGACTCTAGATCTCATTAAAGTCCTATAGAAAATGTTGAATTTTTTCCCATATGACCCAGCAATCCCCCTTCTGGAAATATACACAGAGAAACTTAAATCATTCTACAAAAAAGATATCTCACGTATGTTTACTGCAGCACTATTCACAATAACAAAAACATGGAACCAACTGTGCTGCCCAACAAAAGCAGACTGGATTTTTAAAATGTGGCACATATACATGATGGAATAATACGCAGCGATAGAGAACGACAAAATTATGAACTTCACAGCAACTTGGATGGATTTAGAGTCTGTAATACACAGTGATCTATCACAGAAACAAAGAACTGAGTACCACATGTTCTTACTCAATAAGCAGACCCTGAACAATTACCAT